CAACTGATGCAGGCTGGGGAATTCTGGGAGTTGAAGTCCACACATCTTAAAGTTCCCAAGGTTGAGAAACACTGGTGTAGGCATTCAACAAATCTGGTGTTTCAGACACCAAGATCTGATGATGAGAGAAGGCTGTTGGTGTGTTCTCTGGATCAGAATCACATCATGGAAAATCCCAACAGTTATTGTGTGAGGCCATCTCATCAACTATCTGAACGAGAGCTCTTGCACTTTAAGAGCTATAAGGAAGGCAGAAATCCAACAGGCCTTCTTTCATCACATCTCCACCCTGTAGGCTCTGAACATTTTAACTTTGCTGTTCTTTGTCTGGAAGTAAATGACTTGGCAAGATCATTTATGTAATTTAGACAACAATATAGCTATTGCTAGCAATAGAAAAACAGCAGACCCAAGGCGTCTTTTATTATGCAAATGAACCTTATCAAACTCCTCTTGAATATCAACATTGACACTGATTAGAAGCCACCCAATTTAGGCATTTTTGCTTTGCTCTTTGGTTAAGCTGCCAAGCCAGCTGTTTTGTATATCTTTGACTCAAACATTTCAAGAGCCCTCATAGAAATGATCACTTTTGCTTCCCTAGAAGTATATTATATACATTCCTTTCGTTTCCTTGGGAAGAGAAGAAATTACTGCTGGAGAAATGCATCGTCCCTTTTTCACTAGCAGTGTGCAAAATGTTCCAAAGTTCAAATGTTCCAATCTCTAATTATGCCATGCTGACCTTGCAATGTTTCAGGGTCGGGATGAGACATTTCTGGATCAAAGTGCTTTGACCTTAAAACCTTTCACTGCCTCTTTGTCTTTCTCAGATATTCATAGCAAGATGGGATGAAGACCGATTTAAGAAACATCTGGCTTGTCAAAAACACAGGTGAGCATTTGGCATAAAACCAAGGGAGACAGAATATTTCAGAATAAAACATTCTCACGAGATATGGAAGAGCTACAACATTCTTTATAAGATGGATAAAGGGATTCCAGCAGAAATCAGCACGTTCAAACACACTGACACCCAAATCAGCCAACCATATTTTAGTTTCATATGTTATATGAACCCAGCACATGAGATTAGCATATAAATCAACGTCTGGTGCAAACTCAGAAAATTGCATGCTGGCTGGGGAATTCTGGGAGTTGAAGTCCACACGTCTTAAAGTTGCCAAGTTTGAAAAACACTGCTTAAGGGTTATCAGGTCTGGGGTGCCAAAATCCAGATAGCCACTAGATGGTAGCAAAGGGACATGGAAAATTCAAACTCTTCCTCTTCTGACATCTTGCAGCTGCAATCTGGTAGCCTAGAATCATTGGAATGACCCATGGTTGCTAACCAATTCAATATGTTTATTGTTTTGACCACTGGTCATAACACATAAGATAAAGCCTACATAAAAGTGGTGAAACATTAACAAAATACATTTAAATGTGCAAAAATCAGAAAGAACCTTAAAACATTGTTATTAGAACAGATAAACTAATGGAGAAACATTAGGAACTTTCGATAAAATCATCTCTGAACTGCCCAAAGCTTGCTAGCCTTCAGAGTAGTATCTCCTGGACTAAATTCATTAAATATTCCATTTTATGTAAATCAGGCAAAATGATTTGCCTGTTGGTTGCTAACCATAGGTAAATATGCTATACCAACACGCTGAACAAAAAAATGCTGTTTAAAGCCATGTCTGGCTGCGTGCCTCTGTGTTAATTTGCATAATCCTGAATTAAAATCACCCCTCCACAAATTGTTATCATTGCATCTACTTGAAATAATAGGATATTGTAAAATAAACAATAAATTGCCCAGGCTTGGGGTCCCAAGTGTGTGAAGGACCCCATTTCCTGGTTACATTAACATCTATGGATTATAATTTTTCTTGGCTGCTGTACATACTTGTATTTAATTTTATTTTAGTATTCTGATTGTAATTTGGTTTTAATTGATTTTATGATTGTTCACTGCCCAGAGTCACTTGTTTGAGATGGGCGGCTGCATAAATGGAATAAACAAATAGGCAGGTAATAATAATAATCAATAAAAATAACTCCATCTGTGTGGTTGCTAGGAGTCGAAAATGACTTGATGGCACCTAATCAATCAATCAAAATAAACAGAAGAAAATGACATGTAATAGAGGCAGAAAGAATCCTTGGCGAGAGAGGGCAGCGCCTCATTATAAACTTGCAGCTGTAACATCGTCCCGGCTTTTTGTCCACTTCGTTGTTAGATGAACGTTTGTGCTGCACACAGGGTTTTGGCACGGCTTCCTAGAGTTGGCCTTAAATCAACAACGGTTCCAGCCGAACAATTTTTGTCATTAAGGCTGCATTCAGAGGCTCAGGACAGGCTGCTTCATCTGAACCAAAGCGCATATTGCTGCTGATCGAAGTCAACAGCCCTGCAGCCAGATCTGCTTTCCAATGGTACCAGGATGAGGGAAATACATTGCTTCTGTCTGATTTTGTCTTTCTTATGGCAACAGATGGTGAAGGCTTATAAATATATGAGTGGTATTTTCACAGTGACTCATTCATCGAAGCAGCAAGACACAGACAGTTCCAGGCAGCCGAACAAGATGGACGTAAACCGGCTTCAGGAGCAATATCATTGTTTAAAAGAGAGGCAAAAGCTGCAGACCCATGTCATTTTGTTTAAAGCAGGTATGTTTTAGAGCAGTAGAAACTTTGGCAGCTAGGCATCCCTAAATTCCATATTGTTCTCAAAGAGGAAGGAGTGTATACTGCACGGTGGAAGGCAAAAGAAAGGTTTTGTTAGATTTCGTGGTAAAGTGCCTTGTGCCACCTTAAGAATTAACAGATGTAATGTGCCATATGTTGTGCATCTGTCAGTCTTTAAGGTGCCACAAGACTCATAATGGTGCCTTTGATAACAGATGGAGAGTCCGATCCTGTGTTTGTTTATTCTGAAGCAAGTCTTTCGATGTTAAACGGGACTTACTTCCTGCTACGTGAAGTTTAACAAGCATATTCCGCTAGGATTGCCGAATGCAACAGTTAAAACATGCTCTTCCCATAATGGATATCTTTTAAGACCAATGGGTCCTATTACATACTCGTTGAATCATTCTGTGGGGTTGGCTTTAATTTATTTATTAGGGGAAGAAATGGAAAGGGTCCAAATTCAAGCAGGATGCTAAGGAAGTCAGCAAAAGGGGAGAAAAAGCTGGCAAGAGGGGAAAACCCCTGGACTTGCAACTGGAAAGTGTGCTTAATTAAACTGAACTGTTCTTAGGTACATAACTCATGTCATGTTGGAAAAGGGATGAAGAACTGTAACTGTTCCTCTATGTTTTTTAAAATATTAAGCTACAGTAGTAATCAGAATATACAGGTGGATTCAATTGATACTTTGAATTAACTTTCTCTGGAGTAAGACATTTAAATGTGGAGGTGAATTATTTCCAGAAGTTGAGATACTTAACAAAAGTTAAGATCTTATGCTCACTAAGTTTTGGTCCTGGATACAGAATTTAAATGCATGGTAACTAAGAGTTGTTCTTGGAAAAACAGTCCGAGAAAACTTGAAAAGCAGGAACCTCAGCATATTTAGAGTATTAAAATTTCCTTTGAGGTGAATTCAGCTCCTGGTGAGTTCAGGAACGCAGCCATGTGGTTTTGTGGGTGACAGTACAGAAGTGGTTTGCCACTGCCTTCTTCTGAGAAGTTTTTCAACTTCTTCGTCTAGTCTGTGGACTTGGAAGTTCTGGTGGAGTCCTACCTAAGAAGTAATAAGACCTGAACTTGCTAGGGAAAAAACATCGGTGTAGTAGGGCTTCTTCCAAGTAAAACAGGCTGCCTAGAAGTTGTTTACTGTTTTACTAACAACATTTGATCATATTTCTGTGAAATTGGGGGAATGAGGCCAGGAGGAAGAACTTGTCCATCATGGCCCGTGTGCTGTGCAATGCCCTGACATCAAGGTTTTCCAGAAGCAGATGCTGGAGAGCTGGTGGTTTAATTTGATTTCTGTTATTAGATTCATACCCTGTCTTTATTTTCTTTACAACTCAAGGCAGAGTATATAATGCTCCCACCTCCTATTTTCCCCACAACTATCTGTGAGGTGGGTTGGGCTGAGAGAGAGTGACTGAGCCAAAGTCACCCTTTCATGCCTAAGGGAGGACTAAAACTTACAGTCTCCCGGGCTGTGGTCCAGCACCTTCACCGCTATGCCAAACTGGCTCTCAGGATCATTGTTTCTAGATAATACCACTGTATGTATTTCTCCAATTGTTGATTAAATCTGATTGTTTTAATTTTGAATTGTTTGTACCATGGATGTTTCCATGGTTGGGCCACGGTTGCTTAATGTTCTTTTTTGTATCCTGCCAAGAGTCTTGTCCCTGCAGAGGTAGGGCCACCTAATTTAATAAGTAAAGACATTGGATCGTGTGCAAATTAACTTGTTTACTTACAATTCTTAGAGCAGAACTTTATTTTATTTTTTTTAGCACAGCCTCCCTGCCTAATGCTCTTCACCTGCCTTAGACATCTTTATGGTCTGTGGGCGATGGAGTTGAACATTCATGGAGGACACCAAGTTAAGAGAGTCAGTACTAGAAGATCAGGGGACAATCTGTGGAGATCAGCATAGATTTCTCTTTCCTTGCTAATGATAATAGACATGAAAATTCCCCAGGCTCTTAAATTAGAATCTGTGGGGAAAGCTATCCTGGTATTTGGCTGGTGAGTTACAGTACAGAGTTCACTCCATCCTTTCAGACATCCTTTGACGTTTTGCATCAATCCAACTTCCCAGGAAAACGGAAACCTGGGACGCTGTCAATTGGTAGTTAAATCTGCAAAACGTTGTGATGTTTAGCCTGCCGTCATAGAGGTTCTGCTAGAGGAATCAGCTTCATTCTGAGAAAACGTGCAGAGGAAGATTGGGCCCATATCTATTTATTTATGTATTTATTCCAGGGTTATTTGTTAGATTTATAACCCAAATTGCAAGATTCCGCAGTTCTTAATTTGCCACTCTTTAATCTACACCAGTGCTTCTCAACCTTGGCAGCTTTCAGATGGGTGGACTCGAACTCCCAGAATTCCCCAGCCAGCATGGCTGGCTGGGGAATTCT